TGTGACTCAGCTCTCTGTTCAGCCAAATGTAGGCTTTTACCTTATCAAAATGCATTGAGCTTTAACTATTGGTCTGACATCAGAAAAATTTTAAATGATAAGGGAATATTGCCTGAGGATGAAAGGAAGCCAAAGTGACGTGTAAAATCAGAAGAGCTGTTTACAAGTTATATATTGTTGTGGGTGTCTCATTCATATGATTACCACGCAAACTACAAGACGAACTAAACAAACTAAAGACTATTTACAGTTGAGAACTATAGCTTATTCCAAACATAATCAGTTCATTGCAGAGCCAACTATGCTGTGACATGAATTCAAAGATACATCACTTGTGGGGTGGACTCATAATAATTCTGTAATACAAACAAAGCATTATTAACTGTTCGGTAGAGTTCTGCTGTGGTTCTTCACTTTTCAAGCGGCTCATCAAAAATGTCCTCAAAGATATTAGTTAAGAATGGTAAATATTGGTCATAAACTTCTCTACGCTAACTATAAACTCTCAGCAATAAGGTTAGCCGTACAGCCAAATGTCAAGCCGTTTGCTCTAAAAAATAGACTGGTTTTCATTGATATTATACGAGGGAACTAACTGTGGTCAGAATAATATTGTTTCCCGGAATGTGTGATGAAAAGTAATGCATTTATTCAATACTTCTAAACTCCTTCACACTTCAGTCTACATTCACAAACATCCAGTTGTAATACTTTGATCACTGTTACCTTTAGTCTTAGTCTAATGCCATTCAAGAGTACTGCGAGCACTGAAAGTTAGAAAGTCAACACAAGTTCAGTTTATTGAACAGCAGGATCTAATGCATATCTTTAAAAATGGGTGGTTCAAGAAGACCATGAAATCCTGCTGCGATGATTAAACTGTGACTTCAGGTTCATCAATTTACGTTAACCAACCAATGCCTGTATTTAATGTGCTTACGATGCTTAAAGATACTAAATTATAACCACTTACATGCGAAATGATCACTTCACCAAGCTTTTCTAATATTAGAGGACAGGTTGCAAATGCTTAATTTTAATTTCTTAATGCTTATAATTTCCCGCTGATCATGATACTGAACCAAAATGACGATTCTCAGTTGGCTTATGGCCCCTTTGGATAGATACCTATACATTACTTCAAGTTTCAGTTTGATGTCATTTACTTGGTGGGGATAGCAATCGATTCTGTGATGTGCGTTTTGTCCCATTCAGGACTCGTCAGCTGGATCTACCTACATTCCAGTGAATGATACTATCCTTACTTCAAGTAACTCCATACAGATATCTTATCCTACTAGTAAGCTAAATTTCATCCCATCAATGAGTCACTAGTTCTCCCCTTTCTGAACATTTAAGAAAACAAAATCTTGACGTGAAAAGCTACAGCGTTCCATGATTACTCACACACTTGCCTATTTCAGCTATGAAATCTAAACGTTTGACCACAGTTAAACTTCATGAAATGGATAATGCATGAATTCACTCTAAAGAACACAGTGACTTATTTAGTTCATCAACTGCTATTAATTAACGCTAACTGATAGGCAAACAATTAGTCGGTTAACAGAAGCTTATGAATACAGTCAATATAGCCAAAAATCAAACACTAAACAAAAATGTTTCCAGACTCTGTGAAATAACCAACTAAAAAACAACTATTGAAGTTCACATTTTAATTTTTTTACCTGTTTCCTTACAATTGGCTGCACATCACATTACCCTACCCCACCACCTAAAATACTGATCTGTAAAAAATTGAAACAATCTTATTCAGCTTGTCAGTCATAAACACAACGACAAGCAGCATGTTTCCCTGACAATCCAAATTACTGATCTAAATCTTATGCAGTAGATATAGAGACCGTGATATAGTGGAATTCCACTCAAGAAATTATTCAGTGTGATTCCGAAATATTCGCAGGTCATCGGATTTATTCAAGATCTTGCTGTGAAAAGTTGTTAACCCTACAAAATATACGACTGGCCTTTTTAAAAACTTGGTTTATGAACAAGAAGAATAGGATTTCCTTCAGTGAATTTATTGTCAAACTGCTCATTAGTATGTATAACTAATGAAAAGTCAGATAGTTGCACTAAAACGTTGGGAGGACCGGTTGTTGCTTCAGTCGAGAAAAGTACAAAAAGAATCACCGTTAAGAAGGCTAAATTGATCTTAATAGATAGAATATCGGTCAAGTGATGTCAAAAAGGGTGTGCATGTGTGTGTGTAATGATCATTATCAGACCAATGATTACTTCCATGAATTTTAACAAAGTGAACAGAAATAAGATTAACCAAGGAAAAAGTGTATTATTAGGATCAATGTATGAAAAGGGAATTTGCAAACCGTTTTCGGTAGTAACTGGCTAGTGGTTCAGCTATACACTGATGATGGAAACTCAAACTTTTAGTGAAGTTCAAATTAGTTGCTTAAATTACTTTTAAAAATGGATGATGATCAACCGAGTGACTTAGCTCCATTAGATGCTGCTGTTTTTCCTTCATCTTGGTTGATAAAAATGGACAGCGCTCAATGATCTACTTCCATAGAACCTATTTGTAACGTGCAGTGAGATCACTTCTACAGGGCCATGTGTATTAACAGATATACATAAATGTGAGGAACTATCCTTCATATATTGTCAAATCAGATGATGGTTTGCGAACAAAGCCGTAAAACGTGGAATATGAATTCCTTTCAATCGATATCAGACAACTCTACAATACTTCAGTTACTGCGTCTCATTTGAATCTTAAACTCATAAACAATCTCTCCTTCAGAACGATGATTGGGTGACAGGCAGCTTTGTTCGTTGACTTCCGGTCGACATATCTCCTGAATTATCCATTATTTGATAGTGTTGTCCTGGAGGTCGGATTTCACCATCGAGCATATCCTTCAACCAGATTTTCACTATTCTGTAACACAATACATCAATAAGATTTCTTTTTCTACTTCGTGGTAATCAAGTGTTGAAGTTATGTATTCTCGTAATTGACTGAAGCCTACAGTGAAATGTCATCCTCCCTCTGTAGTATCACATCTAAGAAGTAGAAATCAGGGTTCAGTTCTTACTTCGTAGTGAATTTATTGATGAGTGACGATATCTGATCCGTCTAAGCAGTTTACCAATCGGGTAGATATCATCACAAACCAGAAAGGCACAGTCCATAAACCTTGTATATAGATAAAGTTAGGAGATTACCTCTTTAACGGCCTTTCCTCCAGGCCTCCCAAGAAGATGTTGGCCAGTATAAATTTTATTGAAAACCCTATGGTGACATCATCTGTCTGATTTTTATTAGTGATAAAATTGAAACTGTACATCAGAAGTACATCTTGTCATTAGCTCCTTTAATTAATTCATTGGTAGTTTAACTTTGAAGTTAATGACTGATTTCCAGTAGATCTTCATCAGGATCATCAATTACTAGAAATATCATTCGAAACTGAATAGTACTTAAGTTCATCTCATTTGAACTCGATACTCAGAACTGCACTTTGAAACCAATAAATTTCATGATAGCTAGGCTGTTAATAAGCCATTATCTAGTTCTAATGGTACTGCAAGACGTCTAGTGAGAAACTGTGAAGTACTTACTTAGTCAAGTCAAAAGTAACAAAGCATATTCACTAACACTGTTGTAGAATGGTGAGGCTAGGCAATGAATAGCGAAATATAATGAATTTCTTCGGGTATCCTAGCAGGCTGTGTTCTCATAGACATCATTTTCCGCATTAAACTGATTCACCATGCTTCAAGTCTTCTTATCATAGTGAATTAAAGTATGTCATTTGTGTTTTGCGATTTCTGCACAAAGATAATCCTATGAAGGTGTACGCTTAAAGCTATTTCGAAGCATTCTATCTGATGTATCAAATTTTTATGCCAATATTTGTACTGAAGGCAGCTATACACAAATATGCATCCACTTCTTTTCAATCTGTGCTCTCATCTCATTGATATTGCAGTTGTCGTAATGCATCAAACTAAATTTGGAATTTCTTTGTTGATCATTATGAGTAATTGAGATAGCCGTGGTTTGCCAGAGTTGTATTGTACTGGTGATGGTTGAAGGTGAAATGAGAATTTGTACCCCGGTGGGACTCGAACCAGTGACTACTGGGTTTCCGACCTGGTGCTACGAGGCCCGACTGCTGATCAGATTTTTATTTCACTTCATTACCAAGGCTCTTGACCCCTGATTGCTCAGATGGTAGAACACTTCTTTGCTTATTGACTTCCTTATAATTCATAATCTCATCTCCTTATATGAACTCTAAGGCAATAATTCTAATTGCAAACCTATTGTCCAAAGGTCATATTACTGCCAAACTTTATTACTTTCATAGGATTTTATCTCCGTTATGAGTGTACGATAATTTTGTTTTGCTGTTATTAGTTTCGAGAACTTGACTGACGTAACGAAGACATTTTGTTTTAAACCAGTCTCACTAGAAAGCATTTTTTAATGAAAACCAAAAAGCCAACAGACATCTATTTCATTCAGGTTTGAAACTTGATTTGTGTAGACACTTCCGCTCTTTCTAGAAGAAGAACCAGTATGCTTATGCCCCATGGTGAAAACGTTTCCATTAGTTCATAGAATTTCTATCCAGTGATAAATACTCTTCACCCTCAGACACTTATAATATATCGTGACCATCTTTTACTGTTACTAAATTTTTCATAGCTTGTTGCAGATAAAAAGGATATTAACAGGCGACACTTTTCATTAAAAGCTGTCTGGAGCTAAACAGTATTCAACCATGGTTTCTTATCCGCTAGTTAATAATAAAGCATGTGCTGTAGGATAGAACTGAGTACGGAGTGTTTACCACCAAATATTTTGAAACTAAAAGGAGACAAATAACCAGTATTGTTCAGTTTCCACTATTTCTTCAACTGACTTCATTTGGCTGTAATTCGTCAATTTAAGACCATTTTTCTTTCGAGCTGTCCATAAACGACAAAGATAAATTCACTCGGAATGAATGAAATGTTTTCCGACTTTACGAGGTATGCAATACAGAATATGGTGTTTTAGGTGATCCAATTAACGAAACGTCATATTTGTTTCGAAAAACGAAATATGATACTTTAGATAAATTATGTGTAGCTGCCTCACAATATCATCTGGGAATATAAACTAACTCTGACTATCAAATGACTGTAAATATTTCTACATATTTGTCTGATCCTGATTAGTAGTGGAATCTAGAAAGCTTCTTAAATCCCATTCCAAACTAACTAGTCGAGTGTTTTTATATCCTGGTGAGGGATGATGCCACTAGTGACAGTGAAACAGAGCAGCGGTCGATTCAATTACCACTATATACTCAGACACTGATGCATCTTACGCAAAACAGACTCGTCTGTTATTCATCTAAATAACTAGAAAGCAAGTTTCTCATAGTTTAGTCTCACCGCATCAAAAATATTAACAGTATGACACCAATAAAAAGGGACCATAAGTGTTTGAATCTTATACTATAGGAAATCCAGATTATACCTTATGGTGTGTACAAGAACCACTAACATGGAGCTAAAAATGACAACAATAATAACAACACTAAGTGAGACATAGAAGTCTAAAAGGTGGCAGTGCTTCGAACTTTATACACGAAAGAGGTGAAAGATGAGTATTCATTCCTAAAGATGATAAAGAATCGGCATTTGTTTAAATTTACCAACAAGCAGAAAGCTGTGTGGCATTTTGACCTATGTAGCCTCCAGGGAATTCTTAACATCTCATTACCATGGAAAGGTGATTCAAATGGCCTTTTCGGGGAAAGAAAGGGTTGGCAATTGGCACAAAACACAGGGAAATAGAGCCATACCTCAAAACAATGCTCATTTCGGTACTTACATTAATGCAGTAGTTGTCGTGCTTTTGTTATGGCTAACCAGGAACAGATGTAGTTCTTCGTAAGCTAATTATATTTGTTGATTGTCTTGATCTCCTCCACGAATGAAATATGATTTGCACCAAAATAAATATGTGATGAACGGTACAGGTTTTATTCTCTGAGAAAGCGGCTTCCACAAGGTCATGAAAAGTCGGAAATATACTCTTCTACCTCACTGGAATGTTACGAATACATTTCCTTATAAACCATTTGCCAAATACTCATCTTATTTAGTTCTATCATGTTAAATTTTGATCCTCAAGTCTCTAAAATTTGTAGTGAAATTATTGTTCAGTCCGGTCCCGCTGACTACGAACATACGTATATAAACAAGAGCTGTAATATAATTTTGAAGTGCTGTACTTTTAATCAGTGGGCATAATTTCAACTACCTGAGGTTCGAAAACCTAGACAGAAAGTAATCCAATGTTCATGGCTTGTTATTCGGTTTCTCTACATTATTTAGGTGAATGTATCACGTTAACAAGAAATTATACTCAGTAACTTTGAATAACTGCGTAAAATATTCCTGCCATAGACTTCAGCCACTTTATCACAAGAAAAATCCGAGATAAACAAAAGTAAGTGAAGTACGATATGGCAAATTCAAAGTATATTTTATTCGACTGAGCTAAGATAGTGTGAATTTTGGATTAAGAAGTTCAAAATTTTTAGCTTTCCAAGAAGATTCTGTAAGGTGTAAATACAGAAATAAAATATCCACACATGACACTTAAGTTATCCAGACAATAATGACCTGCTACTTGAGGAAGATATTCAATACTCCAAATTGTTATATGTACCATCAATTTGTAAACATAATTAAATAAGAAACCTACAGTGTTTTCTACTTACTACAATTGTTACTTACACCGACAACTTACATAGGTATTCAAGTATCACATAAAATAAAACATATTTGTATGAACCTCGCCCAGGGAACTAGCTCAGTAGTTACTAGCCGGTCCTAAGCCCGGATAAAGAGGGGAGGTTGAGCATATGGCTAGTAACCTTACCCCGTAAAACCAATCCAATCGCTAAAGAAACTACAAACCACAAGGAAAATACAAGACATAAAAAAAAAATTATTCCTCACTGGGATCGGAGAGACGAAATGATGCCAGTTGGTGAAAGCCTTCGCGAAGCCAGTTGGCCGATGTGTCTTCTCTTGTGGCGTCACACACTTCCCCAAAATCAATAGCCTAGGGTTTGACGACTTTCGACATTGATGCTGACCTTGATAGTTCAACTGGACTCGCTAAGCTGAAAGCACCCGGTCAAGCATCCTCTCCATTTGGCACGCTGTCGTGTTACGTTGCACTGCTCGTATTCGACTCTCTAGCCAGTTAGTTGGAAAGCATCGGTATCTTGGCACAACCATCCAAATACACTATTCCATCCGACTACGCTATCATGTTCTTCCTTGCTCTCCTACTAGTGGGTATAAAGCAAGTACGAATAATTAGTGACTGGTCTCTGCGTCTGTCAAGTTTGCACCAGGACAACTCCTATATTGGTGAGCCTGACGTGATCACATATCCCGACCAATAACAAATATTGAATTGGTGAGCCTGTTCCATTTCATATTTGTATGTTGTTTTCATTTCGATAACATTTATATATCCATTTACTACATTTTCTCATGTCCGACCACACTCACAAGCTTATTCGTATCAAGCCGACTACAAACATGATCCAACTAGTGCCATATTGGCCAGACAATGCAGAAACATGGTTTCTGTATGCCGAGGCAGGTTTTCGAGAACAGGGAGTCTCAGATCCTCATTCTCGATTTCTTGCTGCCATACGTTCGCTGCCGCAGGGATTAAACAGCCAAGTTACAGCACACATATTTAGTCTCGAGGTAAGTGATTCTTATGCACTTCTCAAAGCAGCACTCTTAAAGAAAAGTGATCCCACAGATCTCCAGCGCCTAGACGAACTGCTTCGCAATATCGAGCAAGGCAACCACACAGCTACTGAAGTCCTCGCACGCATGCGAGAGGTTATGGGGGCACGAACATTCGACAATGGCCTTTCCCGAGAACTATTTCTCTCAAAACTACCACGACCGGTGGAAACCGTGTTGGTGACGCTGCAGTCAGTCCCACTCGACGACCTGGCAGCCCCAGCAGATAAAATACTGGAGATCTCTAGCAGACCCGTCTCCAACGCATATTCTGTCTGAGACAGACCAGAGAGCCAGGATTCAGAGGTGACCAAACTGTGCAACTCTGTTAAACAGTTGCTACGATCTCGAAGTCCTAGTTCACGTAGAACTCCACAGAAACGCGTCTTAGTGCATCGCAGTAACTCGCGTGGTTGCTCCAAAACTAAACCTAATAGGGTGGAAAACCCTGAATGGTGCTGGTTTCATAATACTTGCACAGACGAAGCCGAAAAAGTGCCGGAAGCCATGCAGTTTTAACAAGGACACAAACTCGGGAAACTGTCACGCTGGTACGCGTTCACTGCAACCGTAGCCGGATGAAACAGCCGTTTGCTCAATGTCACGGATATTAAAACGAAAGTTCGTTACCTCGTCGACACCGGAGCAGAAGTTAGCGTTCTTCCCGCACCGACAAAGCAGCGTCATCATGACCCATCCTTCAATCTCCAAGCAGCCAACGGCAAGGCAATCGAGACGTTAAGGAGATGGTATGCCTACCTCAACTTAGGTTTACATGAACCTATCCACTGGATTTTCCTCCTGGCTGACGTTTCTATGTCCATCATTGACACAGATTTGCTGGACTATTACGATCTACTAGTAGATGTTCATCGTCGACGACTGGTAGATAACAACACAAAGTTATCTATCGGTAGCACCACCTTTGTAGGTCAGAGTTTAACCCTCGTTAGAACCAAACAATCAGGCGACGCATCCTACCAAGCAGTTTTGGAGAAATATCCAGAGTCGCGACAACCGAAGCACACTCTTCCGTGCATAACCAGCAATGTTATGCATTGCGTCACAACTGACCGTGGACGCCAATTTGAGTGTGGCTTATTTCATGCTCTAACTGCACTTTTAGGTCGCACCCGGTTCCGAACGACAGCCTACCATCCACAAGCAAATGGCATGGTAGAGCGTTTCCATCGACAGCTGAAAGCTTCTCCTTCAGCTGCAAACATACTTCAGTGGACGATGCTCTGCCTCTAGTCCTACTAGGTATTCGTAACGCCTTGAAAGTTGATGCTGGATGTACCTCTGCTGAACTTGTCTATGGGACCACTCTTCACTTACCGGGTGAGTCTGTTTCTCCTTCAACTTTCAAACATGTTTCCGACAGGGCACAGTACATGATTAAGCTTGCGAACGCAATGCGTTCAGTTAGGCCTTCCCCAGTTGGACCTCAAACGACTGATGCCTTCGTTCACCCCACTTTACAAAAGATATCATACGTGTTTATTCGCCACGACGCCGTTCGTCGACCACTTGAACCACCCTACGATGGGCCATTCAAAGTGATCAAGCTAAACGAGAAATTCTGTATAATTGAGCGAGACGGACATGAAAATACTGCCAGTGTAGACCGTTTGAAACCAATTTATTTCGAAGGCAACCCTATTATAAGTGACTTTTCAGCTCGCTATAGCCGACCGACGGATAGCTCAATTATCGAAATGCTTGACGATGTGCCTGGTAATGCACAGTTACAACAACCATCGGCGCAACAGAAAACACGACCAGGTCGAAGCGTCAGGTTCCCGGAGTATTTGAAGTCGTATTCAACTTAGTGGTGTGAAATAAGATGTGCCAACCTTTTCTTTCTTAAAAATTCAATATTATTTTTCCGAGGTACTATTTCTCTTATTTACCAGCAATGCGAAACTCCTCGTACATTTTGCATTTTTATGTCAATTTTTTTATTACCATATAATGAAACTTTCTTTTTTTTTAAAATGGTGAAAATAAGCGTTAACTTTATTTTCCATATATTTGTGCATACATAATTCCCATTTTTACAAATCGTTTTCATGGTATTAAAGACTTTCATTTATATTCCAGGTGCAACGAGCACTGGACGGAAGGTCAAAGAAAACTGAGGACCGCTATCGACGTACATTCGATTTATTGTATTTATTTTCTAATGCCACGACACCCTAGAATAAGTTCAGACAACTAGGAGCCACTTCACGCAGTGAGCTCATAGGAAGAGTTTTACCAGTGGAGAAACCACTGGGTTTTTACTTCCGGCTGGTATCGTCTTAGGGTTCTCACGAACCCACTACGGGGTTAGTGATCTGTAGCGTCACACACTTCCCCAAAATCAATAGCCTAGGGTTTGACGACTTTCGACATTGATGCTGACCTTGATAGTTCAACTGGACGACTCGCTAAGCTG